CCACTGAGCCATCTCACCAGCCCCAATCTTTGATTTTTATTGGAATGCTTAGATGTTTTACCTTTTTTTTTTTTTTTTTTTTGAGACAGGCATCACCATGTAATTCAGGTAGGCCTTGAACTCACTACATACTCCAGGCTGGTCTTGAACTCATGATGGTCATCTTGCCTCAGCTTCCTGAGTGCTGAAATTACAGGCCTGTGCCACTATGCCCAACCCAGATTATTTACATTTAATATACTTATTGAAGGGATTATGTCTACATATGCCATTTGCTGTTTAGTCATTTCTTCTTTTGAATTAGCTGAGTCTTTTTTTTTTTTTTTTTTTTTTTTGTATGTTGAGTCATGGTCTTATTGAGCTGCTTAGACTGAGTTTATACTTTTGATCATTTTGTCTCAGCCTCCCAAAGAGCTGGGATTACAGGAATGTGTTACCACACCTGGCTGAGAAGTTTTTCTTTGGTACTAGGAATTGAATTCAGTTGCCTTGTTTGTTTTTGGTTTTAAAATTTTACTGTATTGTTTTGGTTGAATTGCTTTTTAGGAGAAGTTTATTTATTTATTTATTTTTGTTGCCAAGGACGGAACCCAGCAGGCACCCAGCTTGCTAGGTAAGTGTTCTACTGCTGAGCCAAATTCCCAGCCCCTGGGAATTGATTTCAGGACCTTGTGCCTGTCAGGTAGGCACTGTGTCACTGAGCTACATCCCTGGCCCTTTTTTTTTTTTTGTAGTTTTGCAAAAGTTTTATTTGAATGATATCATGTCCACTCTTCTCATTTCAGTGCATAGACAACTCGCAGTTCAGTGCTGTTATTCTAGTGCAAGTGATACAAAACTGGAACACATTGAATACAGTACACATGAAAGGAAAGTAAATTTCAGTTTTAAAGCTACTTCAGGGGCTGGTGAGATGGCTCAGTGGTCTAAAGCACCTACTTAGAACAAGCTAAGCAAAGCACAGGGACCGCGGTTCAGTCCCCCAGTACCACATGCCAGCCAGCCACACCCCCTGGTGGACTGAGCTGGCTGCAAACACACAAAATAAAATAAGCAAATAAAATTTAAAAAAAAAAAAAAAAAGCTACTTCAGAGTTTTACACATATAAAATGGGAACGAAATAGTGAGGTCCACATAACCAATCTGTATGCAGATCTGAAGATAGAAACCGTAAAGGACATGGACAGTGGTATATATGGACATGGCTGTGTTCAGTAAAGTTTTATTTATAAAATATCCTTTGACCCTGAATTCCAGCTTTGTAGAGTGGCAATTCAGATGGATTCTGCAGTGTCATCTGTCACTTAGAGGCACCTAGCCCCTAACTCCTGGATGTTGTGTCCTCACACACATGTGGCCCAGCCAGATAGGGTGCATTTGTGGTCTCAGCTCTGTATGTATGGATAATTCCGTAGAGTGAAGAATACCTAATTCTAGGTTATTTGTCCTTTTTACCTGAAAAATGTGAATACTGTTTTTTTAAGAATGCATTTTATGGGCTGGAGATACAGCTCAGTTGTGCATAGCACCTATCTGGCAAGTACGAGGTCCAGAGTTCAAATTCTGGTACTGGGGAAAAAAAAAAGAATCTATTTCATTTTTCTTGAGGGCTGATTAATAACTATGTTATTTTTTAGTGGTTTGTTAGGGTGTATTGTATACATACTTATCACTATCTTTTTTTTTTTTTTTTTTTTTGCGGAACCAGGGATTGAACTCAGGACCTTGCACTTGCCAGGGAAGCGCTTATTCTACTGAGCCATCTCCCCGATCACTTATCACTATCTTAAGATGATATACAACCCCACTTAGTATAAGAACCTTGTGACTCTGTGTTTATTTCTTTTCTCCTGGC